AGTTGGAGGGGAAATGGAGAAAAGAAAGGCAGGCAGGAAAGTCCGTTCTCGGCTGTGGAGCTGAGATGACTGGCTGAGGGCCGGACTCCCTGCGGTCAGTCGGTACGGTGATGCGGGGCATGCCACGCTGGGCTTTGGGATGGATTCAACACCATCGGGAGGGCTTGATCTTGCAGCCTTGCAATTCATCTCTGTGCAGGCAGCCAGCATGTGACCTCTGACCGCCCCCACCATTGGCCCCCATTTTTGAAGTTGCTCCTAGTCCTTGAGCTGGATTTCTGCACAGGGGTGAATTAAGCCAAGTACTGCTGACCTCAATGGGGTTTGTTCCAGGGCTGCAAAGTCAGGCCCTTCATGGGATATATCTGAGCACGGTGGCCCCGCATCCTCCTCCATCCCTTGGCCCGGCCTGGCTCAGGGATTCCCTGCCTCTCTCAGGGGAGCTTTGCTGGGAATTGTGCTCATTGCTCAAGCTCCCCATGGATCCGCGTTGGACTTGGGGAAACACTCACAGACTGGGGAGGGCTAAAGTGCTATCGTAAGCCACGCTGAAGAAAGAGCAGGCATCAGTGCACACAGTGCTGGCAATGCCCCCAGCCCCATGCCAGAGGAGCCTGGGGCTGGAGAAAGCCTGTGCTTCCACAGCCTTTCTCCATTGCTCCCAACAGTGCCTGCGGGCCGACCTGGCCAGGGTGGCAGTGCATTTCTCTACAAGCCAAGTGTGCCCTATTGCTTGGGCAGGAGATGCGCTAGGCAGCTCCCCAGCTGGCTCTTGCTACAACACCGACTCTTGGGGGGAAACTCGGGACTCTGAAAACACCTACTCCACCAAATGGAGCCTGGTTAAGGATCTGCTGCTGGCACACAACACGCCTGCCTACTTCTGCACCCATTAGGCTGTGGGGAGACGCACAGAGACCCCCCTCTGCCTTCCTGGCTTCCAGGTGGAGCATGTGTGTGATGAGTACATGTTGCCCCCCAATGCTGTCCCCTTCTCTAGCCATGGGCAGGCCCCTTCCCTGGCTCTATTCCCAAGCCACCAGGCAATGGCTGCCTTGTCTCTCTCCTCTCTGCCATCCGTTTGGCTCTGACGGCTGGGCTGGTTGGCTTGCTGCTTTTGCAAACCTTCAGGTTTCTCTCCCCTCCTCCCCCCAGCTGAACAAAAATGATTTGCAAAAAGGACGAGGGAAAAAATCTGATTAGCTCAGGGGAAACAGCAGCATCAGGGTGAACAGTGAGGGCTAACTCTGATGGGAAGGCAGCTGGGACATCCTCACATGGCCAATGCAGGAGTCTCAAGGCAGAGGCTTGTGCTCAGCACAGATCACTGCATGGGACAGAGGAAATGGCTTAGATTTACCATCCTTCTCCCCCTGGCATGTATCCTGATGGGCTGAAAGGACCCTGCTGCTCGGTGATCAAGGCTACTCTTTAGCCCGGGGATTCCTGTCTCTGCGCGGCCATGTCCCCTGTGCCCTGTGCCAGCAGCAAGCGTCTGGGGAGGTGGTGTCCTGGGATCCCCTCCCAGATCAGCCTGACAGGCCAGGCCCTGGGGCAGGACCTTCCACCCTCCCTACAGAACCAGGCCTGGCCGAGCTCATGAGGCTGAAACATAGCCCACCCCATGCCCTGGTCCCTGTGCTCAGTGGAGTTGCCACAGGGTCAGCCAAAGTGATAGGGGAGAGATGGACATACCGAGGCAGGGTGGATCTGTCTCCCTCTGACTCCAGGAAACACTGCAAAACGCACTAGGAGCCTCGGCTCTGAATGATGATCGCTACTTGTTGAAATAGTAGCCCCCCCCCGAACCTATTTCCAAGCCCCCAATTCCCATTGCCCACTGGGATATAAAGGTCCTTCCCCTCTTGCAGGCCTTGTGCAGGGGCAAACCACCCCTTACACCTTCCTGGGGCTCTGGGGCAGAAGCCTAGGGCAGCCTGGTGAGTCTCCCTGCCTATGGATGGAGGGGCTGAGGGGAGTTGAATGCCAGGCTACCACTGACAGGAGTAGGAGCCAGGTGCCCAAATCCCAGAGGCACTTTGCAAATCAAGGGGCAGTGCTCCCAGTGCAAAGCTAGGGGTCAAGAGCTATATCCCCCGCCAGCCCCAAGGTGTGCGTAGCTTCCCTACAGCAGCTTCTCATGGATCAATGTGGTCTGGCCCCCAACTGCATGAGGCTGGATGTGCTCCCAGGTAGGGGTTTCGTCCCATGCAGTAGCAGATCTCAGACTAATCGTCAATGGATCATTTTTCACGAGGCTCCTTCTGCCTTGCTATAGGGAATCAGTGGGCCATGCTAACGAGGGTCCCCCAAGAGCTGCATTGCTAATTAACTGGCTCCAGAAAGAGCAGCGGGACTGTGGATGTCTAAAGCCGGGGGCTTTACTGGGTGGGCCCAGCAACCAAGGACCTGTGTGGGAATGGTGTCCTTTCTTCCCTTTTCGTCTTCGCGTGCCCAGGAAAATGCACTGGTGAGGGGGGCAGGGGAGCCATGGAGCCCTGACCCAGAGGAGATGGCAGCTCTGAGCACCCATGGGTGCAGCGCATCACCTGCCAACTAACCCCCACCATGTATCTGCCCCTCCAGAGCCACTGGTCTGTCCATGAATAAGCTCGCCTGTGCTGCCTTTGCTTCGCACTCTCCCCTGGATCTAGCTGGCCCTGCCTAGCGGGCCTCCTAGCACTCAGAAACAGTAGCATCATGGCTGTAAACTGAGCTCTCATCTGCAGGACAAGGCTCTAACCCTAATGGACCCCGGGTAACCGGGATAGCTGCTTAGGAGGGGACTGGAGTGGGAAATGGGAGCACTGGGGCGCAGTGTCGTAGCCCCTGGAGAGTCTAATGCAGCCTGTTGCTGAGATGGGCTGCATTAGACGCTCCCCAGACGGGCGATTCCCCATCTCTAAGCACCACAGGCTGAGCTTGAGGGGACCTCGGTGGCCTCAGGAGTTGCTGATCTGCAGCACCCCACATAATGGGCACCTTGTCAGGGGGGATGTGGGGGTTTCCATTTCCTTTTCTCAGGCGGTTGCTCAGTAGTACAGGAAGGAAAAGGAAACGAGACCCCAAGACCCATACCCTGAGGTCTGTGGGTCTTCCTGGATGGAGGCACTCTTTTTGGTCTACCCACAGCAAGAAGAGAGGACTCTAGCAGATGGCTCTGCTCAGCTTTGATTTGACCTGCCTCGGGCCCTAGCAGGAGGGGCTGGGTGCCACGGTCCAAAGGACCAGGATGTGGAGCCTGGCTGATGCTAGAGGGTCACCTTCTCCCGGTGCTCAGTGATCCCCGTGGCCTGGAGTGGTGCGGGAGGAGAGGATCCCTGCTCCCTGTAACACCCCTTGGGAAGTGGACGTCTTGTCACACAACACATTCATTTATACATTTAATAAAATGGGGGGAAGAAAAGCCCCAGTGAAGCTTGTCTTGGTGAAAAGCCAGTGTCAGACTGACAGCCCTGGGATCCTATTTATCCACAGTTAGCAGCACGCCGTGCTACCCCATCACACCCTGGCTGCAGGGAGGTGAGCCCAGTACAGAAGCTCACGCAGCCCCGGCCTGTCCGCTGAGACCGGCCTGTGAAAGGGCCAACCCAAGCAGATCCAGGCATGCCCTTGAGAGCAGGGGTGGTGACTGATGGAGATGCGGACGGCAGCGCCATGTCCCACCAAAGGGAAGGGGGAAAAGCGGTGATGGCAGAGCCCTTGCAGTTTGCAGACCACAGCCCCGATCCAATGCCTGCTGAAGTCCCCCCCGAGACTCCCGTTGCATACGAAGGCACTTGGATCATGGCCTGGGGGCTCCGTGACGCCAGGCCAGAGGGCAGGGGCACGGGGTGCTGGACACCCCACACATGGAAGCCAGCAGAGCGTGAACCTCTCACTGGCTGGTACAAACCCCCTGCACCATTTGAAAAGACTGCAAAAAAACTAATAATAATACAAGCGATAAAAACATCGCACGCGCCTGGGCTGCCCGTCCTTTGTTTTGCTTCTAACCACTAAAACAAATGGAAAAATACAATGATACAATCATAGGAGAACGGCAGCTCCATTTCCCCACATCGCTATCAGCTCATGCACCTGGGGTGGTGACAGGGAGGGGCGGGTTTGGCTTTCTTAATTTCCCTTGATTAGGACCGATGGACTTATTATGCATTCCCAGCTGTGTATAGATCTTCTCAGGTGTGCTGTGGGCAATGGAAACGCCACCCACAAACCAAATAGAAATGCCCCCCACCAGACCCCTTCTAAAGGAACCAAATGAAAATAACAACGTCAACCTCTCGAGTGGCACCTCGGTCTTCGCTGCTTTGTGCTTTTGCCCTCCGGCACGCTTGGCTCTCCCGTGAATTCCTTACCCCCACAAGTAAGAAGACAACGTACAAACAAATCCAGTGTTTCCGGGAAGGGGGCGTGGAAGCGAGAGGCCACGTTTCCGGGCCCGGTGGGGCTCAAGGGACACTTGAGAGACACTTGAAGGACACAAACAGGGGATAATATACAAGGTTGCCCAGTAGTAGTTTAAAGCAAAGAGTAACACCTAAGCCACTGATCAATACAAACACCACAGAAAGGGGACAAAAGGCCTTGGAGAAAGTAAAAAAAA